GTACTAACAAAATCACTCGTACTAACAAAATCACTCGTACTAACAAATACGTACGCAGTATAGTAATTTAGACATGCTGGTTTTATACCCAAAGAAATCTCAAGTTGGAGGTACACAAATGAGAAATAGGTTTTTCAAACCAGAACTGTTGCTGGTGGCTGGCTGAAGTGTCTCAAGTCTTTTTAGAGTCAGCAAATTTAGAAGATTCCTCTCTGTTAAACTTAAGAAAGCTTGTCGTGCAAATCTGTTAGATGCCAGAGGTCAGCTAAGGTTTCTGTTCCTGATATAGCACGGTGACATTAAGAAACGCCTTCAACCGTCTCATGGTCAAATGCTGCACCATATAAATTAGTATGTGGACCTGATTCCTTCGTCTGATTAAAATATTACAAAAGGTCTTGGTGCTTTTGCACTGAGAAGAGGGCGATGAAGTAGAGTCAAACAGGGTTCTTGCTCTTGACCACTGTAACATTTAATGGAAAATATGTACAAGGCCATCAGGCAGTGCACAGGAACATGTTTTGCTGTGATGCCTCAGTTTGGGCTCATGAATGAAAAAAATGTCCACTTGCTAAGATACTGGAAAGATATTGTGCCAGTGAAATCTTAATGATGTTTGAGAGAAAGTTGGTAGAGAAACTGACACCCGACAACATGACTGTCTCGGTTGAGTTTAGTTTGGCACTTACCAAGACAGAATGCAGCTGCAGACCCTTTCCTCTGCATAATGATCAACAGAACTAAGCCAATCTTTCTGTGTGCATCTCTTTAGAAGAACTAAACCAACATGAGCCAAAAACTAAGATTTATTTTTTTTTTGCTTAGTTATTACAATTATTTTCAGGAAATTAAAATGGAAAGTGAATGGTTCCCTAGTTCTTACCAACAGCTGCAGCAGGTGACTGGCTGGGATATGCAGTATGTTGTGCCGTGCCTGTGGTTGGAGGATATGAGGTTGAATGCGGATATGGATATCCAGGAAAACCACTGGAAATAAGAAGAAGAAAAGGAAAGAATGAAGCTATTGCTGCACACAAAACTGACAAAAGAAGAAAACAGTACCAGTAAAGTACACGAGCAACAGACTGACACTGGTTGTCAAGAAAAAAAATCCAAGATTCTGTTAGAAACAAGCTACATAAAAAACATGGACTGTTTTTTATTGGAGCCTCCAACTACATAATCAGCATGAGTATTTGGAAACCAGTAAATAATAGGCACAGATTTCAGCCATTAAAAACAAATCTATTTGATAAGCTGGCTATCACCACAAATAACACCCACATCTCAAAACGTTAATTTAATTGCAGTATCTACATACCATCAAAATTAAAATGCATCAATGCATTGCAGCTGCAATTGAGTCAAACCGTAAACTTGTCCTCCTCTCACCTCTCAATTGCGGGCATAATACTTACAGCCTGGTTAAGATACTCTCTAATCAACCTGCTCAGAGATGTTATTACACACCTCCGGAGCAGGTGGGATTTGAACCAAGGCCTCCTACCTCAGAGGCATGGACACTACCATTATGCTACAAGAGCCCTCTGGGAGATTCGCACGCAAGGGTCAGCAGGACACAACTCACTGAAACAGAAACAATGACCATCATAACCATGAGCAACATATATTGAAATTTATTGCATCTTAATGTATCTTTTAGAAACTATGCAATTAAACTTCTTTACTTCAAGGAAAATGTGTCACTATTCACATGCATTGCTTCAGTTGAACGCACTTCTTGATGGTCCGATTCTCATGCTCTTCAATTACATAGAAAAGTATTTGTTAACACCAATGATCCACTGATAATTTCCAATTGCACATACTCTGATTTAATGCGCAAAAGCCAATTTAATAACAAAAATTACTTTAACACTTTTTAAAAAAGGTACCAAAAATACTTTCTTTCAATTCTTTTCACATGTTTGCTAGCTGTTAATCACTTTGAAGAATGTGCTTGACCCATTACCACCGCTTTTTGCCTTTCACCGTTATCCCTTGAAGTAATTTATTCTTCTCCTCCCAGGCTATCACAGGCAAAAAGAGAATGTTCTTTCTCCTCGCCACCTCTACACTTGTTAAAACTTGATATTTTTATCTTTCCAGTTCTATCAACAAGGGCATTGACCTGAAACAGTAACTGTTTCTTTCTCCACAGATGCTGCCAGGCTTCAGTATTTTCAGCTTTATTTGGGCCTGAAACTAAGCCTTATTAAGTTGTAATCACAGCTATTTCAGAATCTGATTTACGTAGCTCCAATGTTTCCTTATACTGCTGTTCTATCAAAGCAAACAAACTTCTGACCCAAAATTACAGTAGTTTACAACATTTAAATGATGCCAGTGTTAAGCAATAACCATTTTTAAAAATAATGACTAAGTACTACCTTATGACATTACCAAATCCCCATCATCTGGAGGCTCACCCTGATTAGAAACTCAATTAGGTCAGCCACAGAAATTGCTTGACTACAACAGCAGCTCGATGGGTATTCTGCAACTCATCTCCGACGCCCCAAAGAGTCTTTGTCACAGACAAGACACCAAGCTACAATAGAATATTCCCCACTTGCCTGGTTAGGCATGGTTTACATACCAAATGCTGAAGAAAAATACAGTGAAATACAATACAAAAGAAGCTTGATATTATTCAGAACAACACAATCAACGTGACTGACATCTTCCAGCTTAAACATTCACTCCTGCACAACCAGTATCTCTCAGATTCACTGTATATCACGTCCAAGACGCATGACAGCTAATCATGCTGCACCTCCAAACAGCAGCACCTTGAAGGACAAGAGTAGCAACTATATAGAAGCAGCATTACCCCATGCTCCCCAGAGTTGCACATACCAAGTTTACTTTGACATACATCTGTTAATTCTCCCTCGGTCAAAAGCCTGCAGTAGTCAACGTTACAGTCTTGTTAAAGCATCTTCAGCACATGGACTTGGTGGATGCACAGAGGGTGGCAAGGGCACAGGGAATTTCAAAATCCATTGCCAAGTGGTTCAGCAGACTCACTTGCTACCCACGGACATAGCTGCCGGGCGTACAGCAAGTGGTTGAAGGAAACAAGAGATACAAAATCTATTTGACCCTTGTCCTTACCAACCAACCTGTCACAGATAAGTCTGTCCACAGTATCAGTAAGAAATGATCGCCATACAGTTGGTGTAGAGCTGAAGCTCCACCTTCATACATGTTGTGCGCTCAACGGGACAGATTTCAAACTGATCTAGCAACTTGGAAACTGGGTGCCCATGAGGCACTGTGGGCCATCAACAGCAGCAGAACTGTATTCAACCCTGTAATCTCATGGCCCTTTACATATCCCACTGTACCATTACCATCAGGTTGAAAGATCAGCCCTGCTTTAAGGAGGAATGCAAGAGGAGCACCAGGCATAGCTAAAAATGAGGTATCAACATGGTGAAGCCACAAATCAGACTACTTCCATGTTAAACAGCAGAAGCAGCATGCAATAGACGATGTTAAAAAATCTCACCACTAACAAATTAGATCTAAGCTCTGCAGTCCTACCATTTCAAGATGTAGATTTCTGGTGAAAGCAAGAAAATTAACAGAAGATGGGAGGTAGCACAAATATCCCCATGTTCAATAATAGGGAAGTCCTGTACACAGATGCAAAAAGCAAAGCTGAGGTATTTACAGCCACCTTCTCCTACAACTCCTAAATAGGTGATTAACTTCAGGCTCGGAGGTCCTCAGCTTCACAGATGCCGGTCTTCAACCACTTCGATTCATTTCATGTAATGTCAAGAAATGGCAACGAACACTGGATACTGTAAAGCCAATGGGCTCTGACAATATCCTGGCAATAATACCAAAGACTTGTGCTCCAGAACTCTGAACCCCTAGCCAAGCTATTCCAGCATAGTTAAAATATCTACCCAACAATGTGGAAATTGCCTAGGTGTGTCTTGTACACAAAGTAGTAAAACAAACCTGACCCAGCCAATTAATGTCTCAGTCTACTCTCAATCATCAGTAACTATTGTAAAGGGGCGTCAACAGTGCTATCAAGCAGCACTTGCAAACAAATATTGACAGTTTAGATTCTGCCAGGGCCACTCGACTCCTGATCTCATGAGAGCCCTGGTACATACATGGACAAAAGAGAGAAATTTAATGATGCGATGAGTTAGACTAACCTTCATATCAAAGCATTATTCAACTGAGTGTGGCACCAAGGAGCCCTAGCAAAACTGGAGTCAGTGGCAATCCCCATTGGTTGGATTCATAACTAGCACAAAAGATGATGACTGTGGTTGTTGTAGATCAATCACTCAGTTCCAATCACTCAATGTTCTCTCCATCATAGGGTCAGAATTGGGGATGCTCACCAATGATTGCACAATGTTCAGAACCATTGAAGACTGCTTCAGTATCTGAAGAGTCAATGTTCAAATACAAGATCTGAACAATATCCAAGTTTGGGCTGAAAAGTGCAAGTAACATTCAGGCCACACAATTCAAGGCAACTACCATCTCTAATAAGTAACAAATCTAACCACTGCACCTTGGCATTCAATGAATGATTTTTTTGAATGAATAATTTTTTATTGTCACGTGTATTTTACAGTATTGCCATAAACCAGTGCCATTTTGAACAATGTTAAGAATAAGATAAAATAGAGAGATTAGCTTTGAGAAAGTCCACCTGTCCTGAGCCAGCTCAATGATAGCTGCACCGCCATCGACACCGGACCCAACCAATGAAGTCACCACACTTCAGATGCCATCTTTCACTGTTGGGTTGATTCTCCTCCGCCTCTGCAAGAGGCTGCTTCTTTCACCACTGGGCCCACCTCAATGTTGCTCTGATGCCCTTTCATGGATGGAGCAGCCACCAATTCAGATGCCAGGTCCCATGTTTGCCTGGGGAAAGTAAGTAGGGGCTTGTGTTGGGCCCACTCATCACAAGATTCGTGCTCGGCTTATGGTGTTACCAGCACTGAATGCCACAATATTAACATCCTTGAGGTTACCATTGACCAAAAACTCAACTAGATTCTCCACATAAACAGTTGCTACAACAGCAGGCCAGAGGCTAGGAATAGTGTAGCAGGTAACATACCTCCTGACTCCCCAAAGCCAATGCATCATCTACAAAGCATAAGTCTAGAGTATGATGGAATACCCCACACTTGCCTGGATGGGTTCAGCTGGAACAGCACTCAAGAGGCTGGACACCATTCAGGACAAAGTAGCCTGCCTGATTAGGACCACATTAACAAGCATCCACTCCCTTCACCACTGATGCTCATTAAGAACAGTGTGTACTATCTACAAGATGCAGAGCAGAAATTTAGCAAGGATTCTTAGACAGCCCCTTCCAAACCCACAACCACTTCTTCCATTTAAAAGGATAAGGGCAGCAGATATGTGGGAATATCAGAAAATGCAAGTTCCCCTCCAAGCTGCTCATCAGCCTGATTAGGAAATATATCACCACTACTTCAGTGTCACTGGGTCAAAATTCTGAAATTCCGTCCCCAAGAGCATTGTGAGTTAACCTACAGCATGTGGACTACAACAGTACAAGATGGCAGCTCACCCCTACCAACCCTTCTAGGGATGGGCATCAAATCCTGGCCAGTCAGCGATGCCCATGTTCCAAGAATGAATTAAAAGGAAAAAAAGTCACCATTCCTGCATAGTAATAGCGTAGATCATCGTCAAGATGCACTCTAGTATCTAACCATGACTCCTCCAGAAGAACGTTTCAAACTTACCCCTCAAGGGCAAGGACAGCAGATGAATATAAACACCAGAATCTGCAAGAGTTGCCCTTGAAGTCACTGACCATCCTAACTCGGAACTATATCACCATTGCTAGAATTTCCTTTGTAACAGCATTAAGGGTGTCCCTACAGCTGATGGAATGGTTCAAGAATGCAACTCAGCACCACCTTCTCCAGAACAATTAGATTTGGACATTAACTGCTGGTCTAGCCAGCAATGCCACAGCCAAAAAAAAATTAAGTAGTAGAAGCAACCATGCATCTCCATCTTGGTGTTGGTCTGAGAACATGGTGAATTTGTTTTCACTGATCCTGGTTTGAAAACGCTTTATGCTGTTAAGATTAGCCCGTATAATCAGGCTGAATTATGAGACACAAATACTGTTTGTGTTTTACACTAGTTTATTAAACATCTTGCCCAAAGTACGGTATTAAAATTGTTACAGAGATAGTAGGAACTGCCGATGCTGGAAAATCTGTGATAACAAGGTGTAGAGCTGGAGCTTCTTTTCTGAAGAAGGGTCTCGACCCGAAACGTCAGCTTTCCTGCTCCTCTGATGCTGCTTGGCCTGCTGTGTTCATCCAGCTCTACACCTTGTTATCTCAAAGTATGGTATACCTGACTTTCATTGAAGGATTGACTACTGAACTGCTTTATCTTGGATCCATCAGTGCAATGAATCTTTCACATCCACTCATACAGGTAGAATGGACTTCAGTTTACCAACTAACAATGTCACAGTCTGAGAACGCTGCTTAAGAGTATCAGCCAAAATTATGCAACCAAATATAGCGTACAAATAAATATCTAAATAGCTTTAGAATGCAAATCTCTGTTAAAGCTCTTGCAAGTAAAAATCATACCCAGCATTGGTGTGGCCAGATGGATATGGTGTAACTCCAGCTGGCATTCCAGGCATATAGGAAGCTGAGACAAAAAAGGAAAAATAAACAGAACATATTAATGGTCATGTAAAAACAGCACATAACAGTTTGCATATCTAAGTCTTACCAATGGTCATTTTATAAAAATAGCATGTGCTGTGCATTAAACATTTATCCAGTGTATATGGTTCACACCATTACATCAATTTTGACCCTGTTGTATAATTTATCACATCTAGTTGCTAGCATAGAATGGTTATAGTACAGACAGCCTTTCAGTTTATGTCTGTATCTGTTCACTGCAAGAGCTCCTCAGCTAATCCCATATCTCTGCCTTTTCCCCATAACCCTGTAACAAATCTGATTAGAATGATTGGGCAATAACTTGTTTATTTTGGACCAGCATGCAATTCTATTTTCTTTCCTATATCCTTTTGCAGCTTTCCTTCACATAACATGCTTCATTACAGGCCTTCATGAGAAGGCAACAATTCTTCAGATACATTTTGACTCTTACTCACCTATGGGAAAATGCTTGGTTTCTGCAAATAGCTCTCTGTGGATACTGAGCTACAGACACGCATCATATTACTCCACAGCACACTGCATCATAAACATTTATCTTGTGCTATTTGAAGTACAGGCAACTTATTCATCTTCAAATTAAATGCCTTTAAGCATTTCTGGGTACTGTTAAAGAACCAAACACCCATTTCTACTAAAAACTCTAACAGGATTTCAATCTGATGTCGAGTAATAATATCAGCTGGGATCAAGACAGACAGTGCTGTCATTTGAGGAACAAATCTGGTGAACTTTCTATTTTCCACTTCCAAGACAAGTATATCCTTCTTTCACATAGGGTCAGGGAGAATCCCTAGGCTTTTTATGCATATAGTAAGAAAGAGTAGCAAGGGTAAGACTATGTCCACTCAAGGACAAAGGAGGGAAATTATGTGTGCAGCCACAGGAAGTGGAATAGATCCTTAAAAGTACTTTGTATCGGTACTCACCGAAGGGAAGGACGTGACTGATGCCGAGGTCAGGGATGAGGGTGTGAATACTCTAGAGAATGCCAATATATTAAAGGAAGAAGTTTTGGGCATCCTAAATTGCATTAAGGTAGACAAGTCCCCAGGTCCAGATGGGATCTATCCCAGGTTACTGTGACAGACAAGAGAAGAAATAGCTGGGGCATTAGCAGATATCTTCACATCCTCCCTGACCACAGGCGAGGCAATGTTGTTGCCTTGTTTAAGAAAGGATACAGGGATAATCCAGGAAATTATAGGCTGGTCAGTCTGACATCTGTGGTGGGGATGCTTTTGAAGAAGGTACTGATGGACAGGATATATACACATTTGGAAAAAAAATGGACTGGTTAGCAACAGACAGCATGGTTTCATACGGGGAAGGTCACGTCTCACCAACCTGATCAAATTTTTTGAAGAGGTGACAAAGATAATTGATGAGGGAAGAGCTGTGAATGTAGTTTATATAGATTTTAGTAAGGCATTTGATAAAACAAAAACTAAAATCACGTGGAATTTGGGACGGGTTGGCTAGATGGTTACAAAACTGGCTTGGTCAGAGAAGACAGAGGGTAGCGGTGGAAGAGTGTTTTTCAGAATAGAGACCGGTAACTACAGGGGTCAGTCTTAGGTCCTTTGTTGTTTGTAGTATATATAAATTATGAGGAGGAAAATGTGGGTGGTCTGATTAGTAAGTTTGCAGATGACATGAAGATTGATGGAGTTGCTGATAGTGCTGACAATTGTGAAAGGATACAACAGGGTATAGATAGATTGGCAACTTGGGCACAGAAATGGCAGATGGAGTTTAATCCAGACAAATGCAAGGTGGTGGATTTTGGATGATCAAATTTAGGTGTGAATGATACTGCTAATGGCAGAACCCTTTGGAACACTAACATTCAGACGGATCTAGGCGTGCAGGTCCACAGTTCCCTAAAAGTGGCAACACAACTGGCCAAAGTGATTAAGAAGACATATGGCATGCTTGCCTTCATCGGCTAGGGCATGGAGTACAAGAGTTGGCAAAACATCTTGCAGCTATATAAAACCTTTGATAGACCGCATTTTTGGAGTATTGTGTATAGTTTTGGTCGCCACATTACCAGAAGGACTTGGAAGCTTTGGAGAGAGTGCAGAGAAGGTTCACCAGGACGTTCCCGGTCTCAAGGGCATTGGCCATTAGGAAAGGTTAAAAAGACTACGATGGTTTTCACTGGAAAGATGGCGGCTGAGAGGAGATCTGATAGAGGTCTACAAAATTATGAGAGGCATAGATAGGGTGGATAGTTAGAGGCTTTTTCCCCATTTCAATTACAAGAGGGCACAGGTTCAAGGTGAGAGGGCAAAATTTTAAGGGAGATGTGTGAGGAAAGTTTTTCACGCAGAGAGTGGTAGGAACCTGGAATGCACTGCTAGAGGTGGTGGTGGATGCAAGGACATTGGCGACATTTGAGAGGCATCTGGATGGTTACATGAATAGGGAGGGAATGGAGGGATACAGACCGAATAAGGGCAGAAGGTTTGTTTTTTAGTTTAGTCAGGGCACGATAACCAGCACAGGTTTGGAGGGCCGAAGGGCCTGTTCCTATGCCGTACTTCCCTTTTGTTCTTTTGTTCAATGTGAAGGCCAAAACTATGCAGAGAACTCAAGAGGTTTCAACAAAAGTCTACATAATTATAACAAGACTCCCTTATTCTTCGGTCCAGTACCTTTGTAATAAAGGTCAACATACAATTTCTCTTCCCAATTTTCAATCCTAAGAGATTGAGTCTAGTTATGGGACTGTAGCCTAGCTGTAATCTCAAGATAAATATTGAGGAGAAAGGTCATAAAACAAATAAATAACCAACGAATTGTTTTCAACAGCCTATACAAATGAACTGAATGTATCTTTACTGATAATTCATTATTTATTACTCTGCATTATGCAACTTTCAAATATATTCATTATAAACAACATGTTGTAAAGAAATGAGCAGCCTTTGCTCAGCCTTGTTTTATCTGATATTACTCCTGCCCTGTTATAAAATGAATCTCATTCTTTCAATACATAAAAGGTGCCTACTTTAGACATGTATAATGGCGGAGCCTGATCATATTACAAAAAGTGGCAAACAGAAAAAGAGAGCATTGCTATTATGGCCAATATACGTTATTCACCCCAAACTACACTTGATCGGAGTGGCTTACTTGGCCATTTCAGTGCGCAGTTAGGAGTCAACAACACCGCTGAGTCTAGAATCACATGAAGGCTGGCAGATTTCCTTCCCTAAAGCTTATTAGTAAGCCAGATGGGAAACAGAGCTGCAGAGCACAATGGGGACATCAAACAAAGAAGCTAACAGCAGAATCAGAGTGCAGGATGACCTCATTTGAATGTTACTAGGGCTTGCAGAAATCAGATGCAGGTCCACAAGACCCATGCTGTCATCAACTGAACAATGCACCCACACTTGGGGATCAAACATGCAATCCCCAAAGTCATGCCAATATTTTGGCAAACATAATTTGTGGCAGGTGTGTCCTATAAACAGAAACGGTAAAACCATAGTAAAACAGCAGAGGCTCACAAATGTTGCCTAGACAGGTTGGAACACAGACATAACGTTGGTCAAAGCAATTGGAATATGAATGATCTTGACAAAATGAAGGAAGTCACACAATCTGAATCTTCAATGAAAAAAATAGTAGGCAGTTGAGACAGTCACTTTCACCCAAAATCCTAACAAATTTTAATCAGAGTAAATCTCACCATGAAAGGAGTACACTACCCAACCCCAAAGCAAAAACAAAAAGGTTAAAGTAATTTTATTCCATCTCTTCAACTCATCACATCTCAAAGGCAGCACCAAACAAATCCTCAGTCAACATAAAGGAACAAATACAATTGCCAAAGTTTCAAATCATGTAGGACTGCTCTCTAACAATATGACCGATACTTGCATTCAGAGCTGAATCTCAAGTGTAGTTTGCAACTGCAGCTGAAATAATCACTGGACCACAATGCTGCAGCCCTCAGTATATTTTTCAAACCTAACTCCAGAACAACAGCATTGTCAGTCATCAATCTTCAGGTAGAAAAGAAGTGTCCCCAAAGAAAACAAAATGCAGTCAGCAGTCAGATTGAATGTTATAAATGAACATATAAATTAGCAATAAGCCACCCAGTCTCTTGAGCCTGCTGCAGCTTTCACAATGAACATGGCTGATCTGATTAGTTCACTTACCTACCCCCACTCCCCCCAATAGCCTTTCATCCCTTGCTTAGCAACCACCTATCGACCTGAAAATATCTGAAGATTCTGCTTTCACTGGCCTTCAAAGAGAATTCCAAAGTTCCTCAACTCACAGAAAAGTTCTCATCACTGTCTTATGTGGGGATCCTTATTTTAAAGCAGAGAGCCCTAATTCTAGATTCCCTTAAGAGGACATTCCCTTGTACATTCCAATTCAGTCATAACTTAAGTGGATACCTCCCTAGCCCGTTCACCCTTCTTCATATGACTACCTTTCCAATCCAGGTATTAGAGCAGTAAACCTTTGCTCAACAGCTTCGAACATTTTTACATATTTCCGTAAATATGGAGACCAACATTGTACATAGTACTCCAGATGTGGTGTCATTAGCGTTCTACGTAAAAGACGAATAACTTCTCTACTAGCATGTTCAATTTCCCTCACATTAACTGATAAAAATCTGCTAGCTTTCCTAACTACTTGCTTTACCTTCATACTAACTTTTACATGTACTAGGTCACCCAGATTCCTGTGCAACTCAGAGCTTTGTAAATGCTCATCATTTTGATAACCTGCTTCATTTTTATTCTTCCTGTGAAATTGTTCGATTTCACATTTCCCCTCATTATACTCCACAATATACTCCATGTGTCAGATTTTTGCTCACTCAACTTATAACTCTTTGTAGCCTCTATGTCTTCTTCACAACTTACTTTCTGACTGATCCTTACATCATTAGCAAATTTGGTAACCAAACCTTTTGTACCTCAA